TATGGATAAGGAAGATGCCCTGATCTGTTTTGAAGAACATATCCGTGCCCTGGAAAAAGAAGAGGAAGAGGAAAAACAGAAAAGTTTGCTTAGAGATAGGCGGCGACAGCGCAAAAACAGGGAGTCCTTTCAGGTACAAGGCTTGGAAGCAGATATTTTATTTTTGCTCAACTCTGGTTGCAGTCTCTTCCCCTTCCTCTCCTCAAAATGTCTGTCTTGCCTATACCGCCTAGATGTAAACTGTGTAACATTTACTCAGGACATTGCATTTAAACACAAAATTCAAAGAACGCACTATTGATTAAAGATTATGGGAAAGTGTGGGAATGTAGTTTGTCATTGTAGATTAAATCTTGTAATTTGTTTGTATGCTGGCAATTTAACTGAAACCATGAATAGAAGGACTGTTATTGTTTTTATTGGTACAGTATTCATTGTACATCCGAGCCATGATATGTGTTTTTCTATTCCCTTTTTAGCTATTTCTGGATGAATTGCATGAGCACGGACAGTTACATTCCATGTCTTCCTGGGTTGAATTGTACCCTACTATTAGCTCTGACATCAGGTTTGCAAACATGCTTGGTCAGCCAGGTAAATATTCCTTCTCCTAAAATACCACTATTCCAGTCTTTCATTTAGCAGCTTTTATACCCTTTTATTGCTTGATATTTGCCCAGGTTTATTTTTCTTAAATACCGGTGGGTTTCCGTACGTCCCCGCTCCCCCTGACACCCCCTCCCCCCAAATTTAATGAGAGCGCGGCAAGGTTGCTGGGATTTGAAGTAAGCGTAGGCACTACTACCAAGATGGCAGAGGCCGAGTGCTCCCTAAGCCCTGAACGTGAGGTCTGAGGTGGAGCTTTGGCTGGATAGGCCTTTTTTAAGCATTTTGGGAGAAGTTGGATGCACTCCAATACCCCACAGCCTCAGAGGGCAAGCCTAAAGTCTCATCACGAAATCCCGACTCTCAAGGTTGACCTATAGCCACTCGAGAAGACAGTCAGTGGGAGCCGAATAAGGGTCTCTAAAGAGACAGCAAAACCAGTCTGCTCCCTGGACCCTGCAAACACATAAGCTGGCATACCTGAATCCATCTTACCTCCAGCCTGGAAAGGAGTGTCCGTCTCCAGGCCTTATGTTCATGCTGTTTTTTGTTTTGTTTTTCTCAAAATCAAATCTCTTTTTACTTTGCTTTAAAAAAAAAAAAAAAAAAAGGGGGGGGAAGAAAAGAAATTCAAAGCGATCACAAAGGAAAAGAATCCTTAAATAGACTTGAAAAAATTATTTAGATTTTAGCTTTTAGAACTTCTTTTCTCCTGTATTCCAAAGTACTACTACCACTGCCTGTAGCACACTCTGCCTTTACCTCCCTATGCCTGCAGCCATAGCCGCTTTGTGCACCACAGAAACACATTGTTGGGGAACATCTTATCCAGATAGCTAGTCTGCCTTTCTCCAGCTGCTGAAATTATCCCTGTCATTCTATTTTATAACCTCCATTGTGCTGTTTCTGTTTTCTTTTAAGGGCTTCTTTCCTAGATTGCATCTATTTTTGGAGTAAATACCTCTGCTTTCAAAGAACACTTCTGTCTATTTTGTTTAAATCACTGTTTGGAAAATATACACCAATGAAAACATGCATGCATTTTTCATTGTGAGTATATCTAAAGAAAAAAAAACAAAAAAAATCTATTGTGTGCAGTCTTTGCAAAATATATGCAAATATAATTGCAATAAATCTAATTATCTGTATATATGCATAACAAAAAGTGCAGTGTGTGTGCTTATACTTGCTTATATGTTAAATTTGCAAACCCTGAATTTCTATGAATGAGAAAAGCAAGACCCAGCGTGAGGGGGGCACTGAGGATGGGGATACCCTCAGGGCACTATAGTGCCAGGAAAACGAGTTTGTTTTCCTGGCACTATAGTGGAATTGTGGGTATATCTAAAATCAGTTTGCAAAAGTGGTAGGTTTCTTGCATGTAGCCTCTGCAAGTCCTCAAACCAGACTTTATATGGCAGTTCAATTACAAACTTCCCAATGCAGTTCAATGAGAAGTCTTTGCAAGGCAGGTACTCTGGGCAGTTGCTGCCTCTTGAGTTTAGCTCCACTGAGCTAAACAAACCAGGAAGTAACAGGACAAGTTGTCTACTTGACTGCCAGGGGCGTGCAACATGGTTCATTTGTAAAAGTGCCAATGTTTATTGAAATCTGTACTTTATGAACACACTCTTTGCACATAAAGCACTTCAGCAAGCTTAAGTGTTTTTTGAGTCTTTTTTTTTTTAAGTGCAGACTCAAAAAAGCAAGCATCACTACCATGATGATCACCATTTTGACACTTCTGTTGTGTATGTAGTTATATACACTGTGCCCACAGGATACCTCTTTGTTAGAGTGCATACACTGATCACAGGTATGCCTACACAGTTCTAGTATGTTATTGCTCCTGCTCATAGGTTGCTAGCAAGTGTAATTACAAAAATGCAGATCTCTTGTCTACACCATTGCCAAAAACCTGTCATTGTTCCCAGCTAGTCTCCAATAATATTTTCTGTGCTCCAGAGAGAAGATTTAGCTATATGGAAATGTACAGTCACACTCATTACTTTCCCATAGCAGAACATTTATTTTCAGGTGGGTCACAGACAGTCTGAAGTCTGTTGTATTTTTTTTTTATTTTTATTTTTTTGCATCAGTTTATTTTGAGAATTTAGCAGCATGCATTGACTTGTATTTTTCTACATAATGTCTTAATATTCTAGGTAGGCCTTCACTTGTATTACAATTTGTATTTGTGTCACAGGGTCAACTGCACTTGACCTTTTCAAGTTTTACGTTGAGGGTCTGAAGGCACGGTATCATGATGATAAGAAAATAATAAAAGATATTTTAAGGGTAAGACCTTTTATTATTCAAATGGTTAATCTGGCTGTAGTTCTAAAATATTCTGGAATGTCGTTGAAATTTTACTTTTTTTTTTCTTTTTTCTTTTAATCATCTCAGGATAAATGCTTTATAGTGGAACTCAGTACCTCATTTGAAGACTTTGTTAATGTGATCAGCTCGACCAAAAGAGCTACCACCTTAGACGCTGGAAATATCAAACTGGCTTTCAACGGTGTAAGTAGCCAAATACAGCTACCAGATATGACAATGTGTTAGAAACAACTTGCAAAATCTAAAACAAAGATCCAGAATCGATTTTTCTCATTGGCAACATATTGTGACACTAATCTTGTGTGCCACATCAGGTGTTTATGATGCATATTGTGTATACAAAACATTCTCCATTCTAAGTTTTGACCCAGCACCAAGGGACATCGCACTGGAAGCTACAGTGTCCTTTATTTACGAAGGCGAGTGGGTGGAGGCACTGTGAGCCATAGTGCCAGGAATACAGCTTTGTATTCCTAGCACTTATAGTATCCATACTATCCATACATTAATCAACCTGCTTAAAATTGTCAGTCAGGAAATCACCAAGCCATTGAGTGAATCTTTTGATATTCTGTTTATACAGAATTTTCAAAACCACTTCTATGTTGTATCAATTAAACTAGATTTATCTTTATGCAAAGAACCTAACACCTGTTTTATTTAAAGTTGTATTATCGATATATAACCCCTTTCAACTTTAGACTTTCTTAAAGGTTTACAGGTGGCTTGTTGCTGACAACGTTGGATCATTAGTAATAGACATTTGCCATGGCAAAACAATATGCAGCCTTACCCAGGACAATACTCGCTCAATAGAGTTTATTTACTTAGCATCAAATTGTAGTAAATTTACAACAGAATTGTAAAACTTAAATTAAAAAAGCAAAGCTGTAACTACAGCTGGTTTAGAGTATTTCCAAACTGGCTAATTTGACTTTAATTTTGCTACCTTGTTTAGAATTGACTACGATTAAATGCTTGTTGAGTATTTCCCAATGGTTGTAATTTTAAGGGCCAAAAAATGAATCTTCCACCTGGGGCATGAGAATCAATCCCACAGCCTAAAATGTTGCTGCTTGAATGAAACATTCAGAGTGACATTCAAAATTGTAGATTCTTATCAAAGGTGTTTTGTTAGGGGGGGGGCTAGCAATGTTGTGTTCCCTGTGTGTACCCAGTTTTCAGAGAGGCTGAAGAGTGAAAGTTTGTTCATTGATATGTCCATGATACTGTATGGAATAGTTTGTATGCTGTTGAATAAATGATTGTTTCATATATTGCAGTTATTAGAAAAAGCTGAAGCACGGGAAAGAGAGCGGGAAAAGGAGGAAGCCCGGAAAATGAAGAGAAAAGAATCTGCCTTTAAGAATATGTTAAAGCAGTCTGCACCTCCAGTTGAGCAGGATTCTACATGGGAAGAGGTACTATGGGAAAACAAACAAACCGCAAAGGTTATTTAGGAAAGTGAGAATTAAAAGTACATTTTAAATTTAAGGTCAACATAGCCAAATTAAAAAAAAAATTTTAAAAAAAATCTTAGCCCGTTATGCTTTTCGTTCAGCTACTCTGGATTTAAATAGAATTCACTATGAATTCTCCCTTTAGCAAATAACCCTATTAATGTCTATATTCACTAAGAATCCCATGGTTAGATAAGTACCAGTGAAAGGAAGGTAAAGATTTATTTTTGATAGGTTATATTCTTTATAATCCCAGATAGCTATGCTCTCATTTTCTTTTTCTTTTTTTATAATATAAACGTGACTTCACCCTGGGAGGTATAAAACGAGTGAGTTTTGCCTTTTCTAGTATCAAGTTTAGAATCTTTGCCCAGTAACTTGTACGTATGTGATTTTTGCAGCATTACATTTAGGTATTTGAAGGGAGGAGGAGATTACATTGGTTTAATGCTCTGTAAGTGCTGCTTACAAAGCGCAGGTTTGCTGATTTCACACTGCAATAAAGATAATGCAGCATGTGTGGATAACAATATCCATCTCTGAGCATGAATATCACCGTATATCCCACCGCCATAATACATGCACTAGTAGTAAATACATGTGTAAACCTAGTATTCGTCCATATAACACACTGACACACTGTAGGGTTGTTAGCCGGTGCAGTGGACTTTGACCTAGAGTCTCTTGTGAACATGGAAGCAATTAACTCTGTGTCCTTTATATTTGCTGCAGGCTGTGTTGTCTCCTGATGCCTTCCTTGCAATGTGTGCCACCACTAGCTGACAATGTTCACATACATAATAGAAACAGAAAAATACTGTGACTACCTTTTTAACTTAAAATGTTACATAAATATTTACGTTCTAACCTCCTTTAAACAGTAGTTCTAAGGTTAGGTTTTTGTAGATGTCAACAAATAAGCTAAAAAGCTTTTAAATAATCCTTATCTTCTCGTACCCTCTCCCATCTAATCATATCTCTTTTGTACATTTCTTATTAAGGTTCGAGAAAGGTTTGCTCGGGAGCCAGCCTTTGAAGACATCACATTAGAGTCTGAGCGAAAGAGGATATTTAAAGACTATGTGTACATGCTAGAGGTAAGCTCATTTGTATAATCTTCCATGAACAGATATTTTATTTTTATATAATATATATATACACACACTCTCAAAGGATGAATGTCTACTTGCCAGGGCTATATATTACACAAATCACCTTCCCCTATGTCTCTTGGAAGCAGTAAAATTTACCAAAAAGCCTGTAAGTAGATGTGTGATGTGAGTTGACACAGCAGATCAGCTCCCACCTAATTTTATATATATATATATATATATATATATATATATTTTATTTATTTTTATGTTCGAAGTTTTTGTAGGCTGCATTTCTCCTAAATGTGTTTCTTGGTGTCTGCAAGGTGGGTGCATGTATATTCTCCAGTCTCCCTCTCACTAAATCTTTGTCACTGTCTATATGTATCACAAAAGTAAAAAAATGAAAACCTATTTGGAAAATGTTAGGTTATGCTGCAATAAAAACTGAATTAGTAGTTTTCCAAAAAGCACTGTGACGTCCTGCACAGACACAGCTGTAACAGCCCATTGATCTTTAATCTGTGCCCCGAGAATTATAGCTTAGCATGGTTTTCTATACTCAAATTTAGCAAATTAAATTTTTCACACAAAGCATTAGAAATTTGCATATCTGCATCTGCAGATTGTAGACGGTCACCTCTTTTTGACTGCATTATTTGTTTTTTTTGATAGAATGAATGTCAGCATCATCATTCGAGAAATAAAAGGCACTCAAAGAAATCTAAAAAACATCATCGGAAGAAATCCCGTTCTCGATCGGTATGTTGTCAGATATGAGATGCACATATTCGTTTTATTGCCTTACGTGTTCATACAGTCCTAACATAAAATTTATTTGTTGTGGTGTTAGGGATCTGAATCGGAGGAAGAAGAGGAAAATCACCCAAAAAAGAAGAGGCAAAGATCTGACTCCCGATCACCCTCTGAACATTCTACAAGTGGAGAATCAGGTACACTTTCAAAAACATAGCCAGGTTATTTGTAAACCGTTAGAAAAATATTAACATGGCTTAAACAAAGATACAAAATCTAGTTTTTCCTAGAAATGTAAAATGCTTCTCTAGGTGAAACATTCACCAAGGGTTGGCATCATGTTGTGCATTTGAACATGTAGTCCTTCAAGATAAAAGAATCTGAAGGAAAAAGGGACTCCAGAAAGCCCTAAGAGGTGTGTTTTTGGCAAAGTATAAGCACTCTGTGTTTTCTGAGAAATTGCAGTGTTTTAAATTGTCAGAGGTTTTGATTAGATGCCTCCAGTGTACTTGTTCACATAGATTGATTCCTTTATTTTGCAGAAAAAAGCTACAAAAAGACGAAAAAACACAAGAAGAAAAGCAAGAAGAGGAGACACAAGTCTGTACGTACACTATAAATTGTAAAATGATAATGCATGCTCAACAAAGCGAATTCAAGTGTTGATGTGTGATAAAATGACATGTTAAAGGAACACTCCAAGCACCTTAACCACTGTAGCTCTGGCACCCTCTAGGTATAAGTAGGTGAAAGGTTTAAGAATGGTTTGACAACTTACCTGTCAGACACTTGCTGCCATCTCCTCTGCAATCAAAGCCCTTATTTTCTTACTTTGTGAAGATGCCAGGGGCTTGGAGTGTTTCTTTACTTTATACTACAGTGTTTTTTTAAAAAAAATACAAAAAAACAAATCTGCCTCATTACTTCCAAAGGCATTGAACGATTTCCCATCTTCAAGATTTAAAAAAAAAAAATATCTATATCTATATATATCTATCTATCTATATCTATCCCATAGTTTGTGTGTTTGTTTCAGGTTGTAAGCAAACTTTAATTTAGTCTGTTTGTGTTACTTTGTTGTGAAGGTCAATAAACACAATTCAAAGACCAATACATTTACAGAACCCTGACCATTTCAAGAGTCATACAAAGGGCACCCAGCAATCACTCATATATATGTATATATACTCACTGCCTAAAGGTGAAAAACAAAGTTCTCCATGGATTTTATGCTAGATGGTTGTGGAGCCAATGTCTGCCATTCCATATGCACTGAGGTCCTCCCCTCCATAAAACTGGATTAGTCTTCATGCACTATGACTTTTCAATTCATGTATTTGTATTTTGTAACTATTTCATCTTGTATGTAAATACTTTTTGGGTGGGAGAAGTGGTTACGTCCTGCAACTACTTTATTAATTTTTTTCCTTTACACCAAAATACCCCTCCAACAGAATTCCCCAGAGACTGATGGGGATAGAGAGCGAGAGAGAGAGAAAAAGGAAAGAGAGAGAGAAAAGGACAAAGAGAATGAAAAAGAGAGGGCGCGTCAGCGATCGGCTTCCAAACAGAAATCACCCAAAAGGAAAGCTAGAAAGGATTCTGTAAGTGTCTCTCCCCTCCCTCTCAACAATTTTCACTTTTTATGGTAAGCTTTAGCTCTTTAACCAAGCTTGCCTAAAATTCGATTTACTTCTGTGCAATTCTATTTTCAGTTCATTAGAATTTACTGAATAAATACCACACTGTGTTATTGAACTATGCCTTCTTTTGGTTATAGCTTGTTTGTAATTTCTCTGTTTGGAGAAGCAAATTATTATAAATTGCTACATTTTCATTGTGTGTGTGTGAAACTGTGAACCAAGAATTATGGAGGACTGACTGGGGAATTGGAAATTTTATGTCAAAACTGCTTACCTGGAAAAATTCTCTCCCGTTATTTTACCAGATTTGCTATTTTGGCCTAATTTTCAAATCCCTTGACAAATCTTCACAATCCCCACTTTAGTGAGTAAATGCTACGTGTTAAGAAATAACAAGAAGTCCCCATTTCCCTTGTCATTTATACTTGAGTTCGTTTGATCTGCCAGTTAGCTCTATGCAAGTGCCGGTTGTCAAATGAAGTCAGGCTTGTGCAAGAGCTTTTCAACAATTGTGTGTCCACGGCTGTGTGCTTTATTTCACAAACTAAGACAGTGCATTTAAAAAAAAAATAATAATATTTTGTTAATTTATTGATTGAGTTGTAGCCTGGAAGATTTATTCAGGTGTAATTTTTTTTATTTTTTTTTCTGTTACAGGGACAGTGGGACACATCTGGAAGCGAGTTAAGTGAAGGGGAACTGGAGAAACGAAGAAGGACCCTCCTGAAGCAATTAGATGATGATCAATAAGAACTTCTTAAAACCAAATATGTTTACAATAACATGTAATAAACCGCTACTTTTAGTTTGTAATTGGAATGATCTATTCTCCATGAATGAAACACTTGGTTTAAACAGCTGCTCTTTGTACAAGAAAAAGTTTCCTTTGAAGACAACTTGGGGCTCTTGACCAAGGTGTTTCAATTTCAGATGTAAATTTTAGTTTTCAAAGAGTTGCCTTAAAACAAAACCTTCTTTTCTTTTTTTTTTTTTTTCATTTTGTGCACCAGCTGGGTTTTGCAGAGTAGTATTAAAAAAATACATTGCATAGCCCTTTGGTACTCAAAGAACTTACAGAATGTGCCACCATACTTTATGAAACTGTAATTCTAGTAAATAAATGAGATTGCCATTAGGCTTTGGGAACAGGGCAACTGAATTGTACTTCTGATTTAAACAAAGTCCTATTTTTTTATTTGTTGCGTTTTATTTACAGCATATTCCTCCTTGTTTCAGTAATTTCTCTGTGGTTACACACAACTTCTGATTGGAATATTTTTGTACATTTTTTTATGAAGTATTAAAACAGTGTCTTTTAGTTTGTGCTAGTATTTATTCGCGACTGGCCCCAGAGTTTTACATCAACCCGAATAACAAATCTAGTCCAAGCATAATTTGAATTATCTACAATGTTAATCTATGAGTGTTAAAATTATATTATAATTTATGTATTACTCTTCCACAGCCAGGGACGCAGTGAACATTTTTGCATTTACATTTTCATCAATGCATTAAAAATATTATAAATTTGGGGTAATCCCTATTTGGTTCCAGTTTATCCTCTTAATTTACTGGAAAAAATCTACTGGTGATGTATAAATGTTTTATATGAAACGAGTGTGTGTATATATAAAAAAAGCACAACGGATTAGCCTGACTCGTTCAGTAGGATTTTCAACTGCTTTTGTTGCAACTGTTATTAAAAATTCCAGATCTCTTTGCAATAGACTTGTGTGTGAGCCCTTTTATATAACATTAGTTTTACGTGGCTTTGCGTTTATTTTAACCGTCGTATCCTGCAGTACCTGAATTGTAAAATCTAGGAAATGGCACAAAACCTTAATAGCCCTAAAGTTTTCAGATACGCCTAATCGTTAATGTAATGATATGGAGCTGCATTGTATAAAGCATGCAGACATGATGAAGTCTAGTTCAGGCAAATATTTGGATAGGTAAAATATAATGAATACACTGATGAATCTGGTATCATTGTTGCAAATCTGCTGGTTTCTGTGTCTCAAATAGATGACTTCCTGGTATTTCCTCATTTACAGGAAATAAAAGGGTGAAAAAAAAAACTGAGTGGCAGTTTTGTGGGTGATACAAAGTGTTAATGTGAGTGTCAGATTTCATTAATTTGCCACTTTTTTCCTCTGTTCTTTAGTAGATCTCTGACCACATAGTGATTTGGGATGGATGATCACATCAAAAGAATATGCCAGGTTCCTCCTAGGGTGAGCTAAGGATTGGTCGATAAGGCTACACTTGGCACATAAAATTAGATTAAATTTTTCTGGTCTAACGATTTTGACTTCTTGTCAGACATGCAGAGTAGTGATGTCCCGAACGGTTCGCCGCGGACTCAACATTGAGTAAACTTTGACCCTGTACCTCAGTCAGCAGACACATTCCAGCCAATCAGCAGCAGACCCTCCCACCTCCTGGACAGCTCATTAAGAATGCAGCTTCACAATGAATGTAAAATGGATGCTGTCCAGGAGGTGGGAGGGTCTGCGGCTGATTGGTTGGAATGTGTCTGCTGACTGTGGTACAGGGTCAAAGTTTACTCAATGATGAGTCCGTAGCGAACCGTTCGGGACATCACTAATGCAGAGTAAATTATCATTTGTTTTGTCTGGTCTGGATAGTGATATTTATTACAAAGGACCAACAGAACTATAACATAAAAAAAATTAAACTTTAGAATATGCAGTGTGAGGGTCAAATATATAGAGACTTGTATGTGACAATCAGAATTAAATAGGTATCCTTGAGGATACTAAACCATCGTAAGGATTGTCATTTGAAATGTGCAAGAAGACCAGTGGTTTGGTTATTAATAAAGTATAACACTCATGTTTATTAAGCACTGTAGGGCTGTTAAGCATTAGTCTAGCTAAGCATTAGTTGCCAATATTCAAGAAGGGGAGTGAACTGAACAAGTGACTGGTTGCGGTCTTGTTTGACATAATGCATGTGAAGGCATAGTATGTAACAGAAACATAGAATGTGACAGCAGATAAGAAACATTCGAGCCATCTAGTCTGCCCAATTTTCTAAATACTTTCATTAATCCCTGGCCTTATCTCATAGCTAGGATAGCCTTATGCCTATCCAACTCAGTTGTGTGTCAGGGGTCTATATTGTGGTGCAGGCATCAGGGAGACGATCTATATTTTTATTTTTTTACTTAAGAGTAAAAGAAAACTTTTATGCACTCTCCCAACACCCTTCTTACCTCTGGCCTGGTAGGATGACATATCATTGCAATACCTAGTGGTCCAGTGACTGACTTCTCTATTTTCTTCCTGCGAGTACAGCGCTGTCGGAACATTGCCATGGTAATGTGCAGCAACGCTCCGCCTTGCCTGTTCGCAGGAAGACCACAGCCTCCTGGGTCGTTGTCCTGTCCAGCAGGTTCCCTGGCCCTAGCTCTCTCTCGCTTAACAAACTGCCAGGAGATCTTTGATCTCCCCACCAGCCCGAAAAAGTAAGACAGCAGCCCGGTCCAAATGATTTTGCAGGCCTTATACGGCCCACGGGATGGACGTTCCAGATTGTAAGTTCGTTTGAGCAGAGTTCTCTTCAACCTAGCGTTCCTATAAGTTTTATTGTAATTTTCCTATTTATAGTTAAATCCCCCTCTTATATTGGAAAGCGCTATGAAATCTGTTGGCACTATATAAATGGCAATAAATAAATTTACCCATAACCCCCTTTCCTCAGATGTTGAGGTTCAGACTCTATCAAATATTCTGTTCTCTGCCCTTGGGTTTTTACGTCCAAGGTGCATAATCTTGCACTTATCCACATTAAATGTCAGTTGCCACAACTCTGACCATTTTTCTAGTTAACCTAAAACATTTGGCTTATCCCTCCTGGAACATCAACCCTGTTACATATCTTATCAGCAAAAAGACATACCTTACCATCAAGACCTTCTGCAATATCACTAATAAAAACATTAAAGAGAGTGGATAACATACCTGTGAGCTTGATGAAAGAATACATGCATCGAGTGTTTAATACAGCTTAGTGTGGGCTGGCTCACAGTTTGGTTTAAGTGAGTCTTCACTGGCTGCTCACAATAAGCTTCATTAGGCAGTCGATGCACGGTAAATATAGTAATGAGATGGATGTGCCCCAAGTAACAGCCATTTGGGTGTGCACGCACTTTCTCTTGTTCAGGTTTGCATTGTCCCATACTGGCTCACTGCCAGGGCCGGCCTTAGGGGTGTGCGAGCTGTGCGGTAGCACAGGGCACCATGTGTCTGAAACAGCTCGCACATGGCCAGGTGACAGGAGTTCAGGGGAGCAAAAACAGGTACCCGGGTGGAGGATTTCATTATTCTCCACCGGGTCTATTAAAAAAAATCAAGGTAGCGGGGGCGGGGCTAACACCTTCCCGAAGCCCCTGGTAACTGCTTCACAGGAAGAGGGAAGGAGTCCTTGGTTCCCCAACAACCAACTGCATCCACTGGAAAGAGTTAAGAGTGTGTGACTGTCTGCCTGTGTGTGCATGCGCCTGCCTGCCTCTGTGTGTGTGACTGTGTCTGACTGCCTGTGTGTGTGTGTGGGACAGTGACTGCCTGTGTGTGACTGTCTGCCTGCGTGTGTGTGAGAGAGAGACTGTCTGACTGTCTGCCTGTGTGTGTGTTGCTGTAGCTGAGTCGTTGTGTGTGCCTGTATGTGTGACTGCCTTTAACTGAGTGTGTGAGTATGACTGTCTGCTTGTGACTTGTGTGAGACTATCTGCCTTTAACTGTGTGTTTGGCTCGGTGACTGCCTGTAACTGTGTGTTTGTGTGACTGTTTGCCTGTAACTGAGCATGTCTGTCTGTTTGCTTGTACCTGTGTGAGTGACTGTATACAGGCAACTTGGTTTGGGGGAGGGCGGGCGCCGTGAAGACTTTGCACAGGGCGCCTAATTGCCTGAGGCCGGCCCTGGTCACAGCTGACTAGCACTGAGAAAGAGCGGGTATTAAGTATTAAGCCTTCAGTTTGAGTGTAGGGGGTGCAAACCTATTTTCATATCTTGCCCGCTCTCCACCGCAATGTCCTGAGCTGACTAACTGGACAGAGGAGATTGATATATATATATATATATTATACTGTATAGTGTTGCTGAGGTATAATAGTGGAGATGAGAGAGGTTACAGGGGCAGAATGATGCACAGACAATATTACAGGTGATTAAATTGGTAGTCTTGAATTTATCAATTTTCATCGGACCTTGATCCAAGAGATTAAAGTGTTTTGAGAGATCCAGATCTATATGTTAATGATATTGGACATAACTTAGGTGGAAGAGCTACATGTAATGAGGGGCCTATTTTAGCTTATGGCTAAGGAGGTGTTCCAAAAGCAAGCTAAAATAGAAGTATGGTCTAAGATATACTGTTTGGTCCTTTCAACATAAGAATTTAATGTAAGGGTATTGTGAGCCTCATTATTCTTCTTTTGTATTTTCTTCTTTTTTTGGTTTTTGATCCTGCCCATTGTTTACTGTTCAACATAAATTGATGATAGAATTTAACCACGTTAGTACTCTTACCATAACCATAATATAAGACCGAAACCAAGGTAGAATGAATGTGGTGTTGACTGATTGTTTTCTGACGAAGATATAGCTATGTTGATCTTGTGTAATCGAGAATGTCACATGAATTTCATGTAAATGTAAAGATTTTTACTAAACTCTAGTGAAGTGGGTAGGATCAATACCTAAGGTCAACTTTGTCGTAGAATATCCAAGGACCCCGATACAAAGAACAATCCAAGGACTCCGATACAAAGAACAAGAACACAAGGTGGCTGCCTACGCTGACGATATGCTCTTCTATGTAAACAACCCGACACATACACTACCCGCACTAATGGAGGAGTTTGAAAACTATGGCCGAGCATCAGGGCTCAAATTGAACCTCTCGAAATGCGAACTACTACAAGTATTGACCCCGACACCGGAATGGGACCAGATCACACGGAACTACCCCTTCATATGCTGCGAAGTTCAGATGAAATACCTTGGAATATGGATCCCACGTAGACCAACAGAGATATTCACAAGGAACTACACCCCGCTCCTTCAACAACTTCAAAGAGATCTGAAATCGTGGAATCATGATTACATCTCCTGGCAGGGACGAATAGCAGTGGTGAAGATGAATATATTGCCAAGACTCCTGTATTATTTCAACACCATTCCTTGGCATCTCCCACCAGACTTCTTTGCGACAATAAAATCAGCGATCAGAAGCTATGTCTGGAAAGGGTTCAAAGCGAGACTCAGCCACAATAAACTCTGCCTACCCAAATCATGGGGTGGACTAGCACTACCAGACGTACGGAAATACCATCATGCAGCTGTTCTGCAGCGGATAAGAGACTGGCACGCAGCCCCGAACCACAAAAGATGGGCTGACCTAGACAGGGAAAGCATGAACGGTACCCTCCACTCACTAGTGTGGAACCAAGCCCGTGGAGAATTGCCGACTATGAGTAGGACCTCACCCATAACACAAATACTGAAAACATGGGCTACAGTGAGAAAAGAATCCTATATATCCCCGCAACCGAGCCCATTGATCCCACTGACACACAACACAGCTCTGGGAGGCGGCCTACCGAGAGGCGCATGGCCAGGGGCGAATGGAGAAGAATATCTCCCTCTGAAAGACCCTACAAGAATGGACCGGGACCGAACCCCCTCTCTCATGCATAGATTCCGCTATGCGCAGCTAAGACATTTCTACTACAATATCCCGAACAGACAGGCGGTACATAGAGATACAACTTGGTTCGAAAGCCTGTGCGTCGACACACCTGAAGCGGATGGGAGGGTTTCCATACTATACCAGAGAATACTGATGGGCGACCGGGTCAGAAATATAGCGTATAAGAGACAATGGGAAGACCTCACGAGCAGGACATACAGTGACGCACAATGGGAACAGATCCTCATACTACAACACAAGAGTTCGATCATCTCAAAATACCAGGAGGCCAATTTTAAACTGATATCCCACTGGTACCGCACACCCGCGTTGCTACACAGGATATTCCCAGGGACTCCTGACACATGCTGGAGATGCGAAGCCCACACGGGAACAATACAACACATCTGGTGGGACCGCACTAAAATACAACCATACTGGGACCAAATCCGACAAGAACTGAACGAGATCTTAGGCGACACGCCAGAACTTAGCATAGAAACCGCCCTACTCCACTTCACGGACCAATCTGTAGCACAATACAAGAAATCCATTTTGAGACATCTACTCAATGCGGCTAAAGCCCTAATCCCAACGCTGTGGAAAAGTACACAACCACCCACGATTGCGCAATGGCAACAGAAAGTTGAAGAAATTCACACAGCGGAGGCGAAGAACGCAGACTTACAGGGGAGAAGCACCAAACATGCAGAACTATGGAGGCCATGGTACATATGCCTAACACGACCACAAGCACAGAGAGGGAGGAGGGGAGATACAGGGGACATCGGAGCACACATGAACAATACATAACTTACACAACACCCCCCCCTCGGGACTCCCTCCCGCCCCACCCCATGCCGCTTCCCCGACCTGCCTCAGAGCTCGCGCGGGAGCGACTGGCGCCTGCATAACCCATCCCTGGCCCCCCCCTAGGAGGTAAGGCTAAGGCTACGACAGCACTGCATGAGACCGGAATCACTCAGGGACTGGTGACACAGGTGAAAGAGACAGAAGGTAACTTACCCACGGGGGAGTGCCCCGTGGCCTCCTTACAAACCTTGACCTCTGCTACACTACTCTCACCACAGTAGGTAAAGACAAATAAGTCAACCACATACACGACAACATGACATTTGAGACAACCCCTCTACTACACTTACAAACAAGACAACGTCAGAACACGCAATGAATCACACACACACGGCCTGAACCTAGAAGAGGCCGATCAGGCCCAATTTGGAGTGACAAGGACCAAAAGAGGGACAACACACCCTCCCCCCATCCCCACCCGTACCCTAAGACCCTTAACTCGAACTATATACAGCCATGCGAAAAGCGAGAATTGATCACATCGACAATCAGCGAAACAGAGATAATAGCTAAATCTAGAAAAACAACCCTAGACTTATAGAAGAACATATTACAACACACATCTGCACATAGTTAACTGAAAGGTAAATGACTAAAGTCAATCAGCCCGACACCGGTATTGGTGACTTGCAAACTCGCACCTGAAGGACGCTAACAAGTTCTACACCATGCTAAGAGACCTGCGAGTCTCCTTACTACTGAAGCTTACGCAGAGATTTGCATATCTCACTGTTTAATATGTACCTACAATCATCAGAAACCTGCGAGTTTCACAATGTTTACCAAGTAAATGTTTTTTACAACATGTTAAAACCTCAATAAAAAGATTTAAAAAAAAAACAAAAAAAAACTTTGTCGTAGAATGTATCTATCGGATTTTGTATGTATTGGGCTATTTTTAAAGCCACTTTTTCTTGTATTCAATATTTTAAAAAATCTAGTAAAAAAGAATTTTAAAAAAATTGGTAATTAGAGAAAGGAGTGAGTTGAGAATATGGGGATTGAAGGGACACAAATTCGGTAAGGGTGATATGAGGAGGAGTGTTTGCTGGGCACTTGCATTAAATGTGACTATTAATGGTCTATTGCCACTGTGTCTCCTTTAGGAAAGAAAAAAAAAAAAAACACTAGGATTGCAACACTTGCTGAAAGAATATCACCTGGAAATTAACTTTGGGCGGCTCCAAGGGAGTGAGATTATGGGATATGGGATGGAAACAGATAATAAAACCACGAAAAATAAACAAGTAGGGATTTTTCCCATTCAGCTTTAATTTGCGAAACTTTGTTAGTGAATAATTTTGCATGTGGCCACTCCCCCCTACTGCCTGCAATACCTGCTGTTGGTTGCCTCACAGTTCATGCACCTCACAGGGGATTTTGGGCTTAACCACATATAGACTTATCTATAATAGTGTGTAAATATATATATTTATATATATACACACACATATAGTAGTTCCATTCTCAATTTCTGATAACTGAAGATGCTGACAAGTGCAGAACATACACTACTAGAAAACACTGCAAGGCAGTTGATCTGTTTAGGGTCAACACTCTCACTGGATTTAAAGTGATAGCAATGAGTTTCTGACAGTCGCAACTACTCTCTAGTGCTGGGATCTCAAAGCACTGACCAAAGACCATTTTCAACCCCATAAATACTTTCATGTGTCCTGCAGTAATCCTTCCTAGATTTGACTGGATTAATTGTGGAATAGTTGTATCTTTGAGGCATACCTCTCTCTTTATCTTAGATTTTATTTATACTGGTCTGCATCAGGACCTGGCCATAACTTAGGCTATAAACCGGAGCACATAGTGCAGGAAGCACCCTGCTCAAGCGCAGTCCACAATACAGAGGAGAGGGGGAGGATATAGTGTGTGTTTCTGAGTGTGTTTGTATGCATGGTAGGATGGATCTGTGCATGCCAGTTTGGGAGTAGGCATCTGTAGATAACACGTGAAAAGACTTGCCCGGTGGCTGTGGCTTCCAGATAGGTTGACTTTACGGCCCTTGGCTCTTGTGTGATCCGATCTCACTAAAAGAAACTGAAGATATCAACATTTTGCAGCAAAAATGCAGGAATTTCAAATTTATCAGAGCTAATAAGAATGTCACACTTTCTGGTCTTTTTGAAATTGACAAAATATGAAATTCATGACGTGTTATTTAACAGTCTGTATATGTATATTGTGAGCTGTTGTATATGAAAGCATAAAAGCTTGTCATTTGTTCTAGCGGCCAATTAATTTTTTTAAATTGATTTATTTTTATTTTTTAAACTACACAAATCTTCTCTGAAACTACATTCAGTTTTCACCAAGAGTAGCCATACACATCAACGATATGGAACCTAGAAAAGAAGAGGGATGAGGATAAAAAAGTGGGACAGGAGGATTTGGGCCCAAAAATCTGATTTCTCACAAACCCGAAGACCTGTCTGCACTAGCAGAGAAGCACATTTGGAACCTGTTCCAGCACAATGTGAGTATTTTATTTATATAATCTGTAAAACAAAAATACAGTATTTAATTATGATGTGATATAATTTTGTAACTAATCCTGATTTCCATGTACTTTTATAGCATTCAAAAGTACTCACCGTGTCCACGATTTTTCTCTTTGAGAAGCTGCCCAGCATGAGCATTGGAGTTAATCCTCAGACAAAAAGGTGGTCAGGGATCGATAAATGTGGCAATTTCTGAACTTAGTAAATCAACTTTGAAAACCAAATAAATTCATATATTTTTCATTTTGACTGTCTTGTTAAAATGCATTAAAATATTCATCTTTTGTAAACAAATTTAACAAAAATCTGCAGCTGATCTGCTTATCACAACAAACATTGCAAATCAATAATTGCATTCTGACATTATTCCTTCTAATATTGTCAAGCTGTTTCAGCCTATCTTGCAAGTGAAACGTACAATGTACTTTTTGCCGGAATCTCCAATAAAAATGACACAAGGCCGTTCTAGACTATCCCTTTAAGAATCACTCCACAATTTTTTCTTCTATATCGGTGTAGTTATATTGTTTTTTGGAAAGATACACATATAGTACAGCATAGAAAAATAAAATGCTTTTTTTTCATCCATTTGCAACCCTCAATTTCTCTCTATCCCTGTGTAAATTACAATCACAATTAAATAAATGATGTATTACCATGTAGTAGTGTAAATAGTTTATTTGATCATGAATATAGCAGTTAAAGTAACATGAACTGTTGCTATAAGTCGTGTCTATATTACTAAGAAGCTTGAGTACAAAGAGAAAACATGCCAACATTTCAGACATTCCATAATGTAGATAATGCTAGTTTTGATTATTTTACTTATTGTTTTAATACATTTTCCATTTTACATTATTTCACTTGTTAATGTATTGTGTTCATTGCTGGGGGGCGGGGGGGATGCGAGGGGAGTTGTAGTCATCTATTAAAATATTATATAACAACGTGAATAAATATTGGCATGTTCCCTCTGGGTATGTAAATAACACATCTGTGCATATGTAACATATTGGCGGTTCAGAAAATCTTCTGCAACGTTTAAGAAATGGCAATGTTAATATGGTAAATTTGATCCCCAAAACTATTCTTTTAGTTAAATATAAAAAAAACAAAAAAAAAAACTATAAGTTAAAATAACATTCAGATTGTTTAGCACAGGCTGATGCATATTTTATTTTTTTTTAACAATATTTACACTATTACCCAGGGGCTAAATTGTGAATTAAAGAAGTATATATATATATATATATATATATATATATATATATATATATATAAACAAAACAAAAAAAAAACATAAAAAACTGCACCAACTTTGTAGCAAAATATCTGTACATTTAAAAACAGATTATCATAAAACTACACATTTCAACGAGATCAAAATTGGAACATCACCAGTGGTATAACTTAAACAAAAATTAGGTACAAGAAACACAGGGGCAGGTTGAGCAAATGTTTGCAGTAGTATATATATATTATATATATATATTACTTACATGCATTTTACTTTATATTAGAAAAAACTGTTGGGAACATGTTATTGGTTCGAAGGGTTACTTTACTACCTTGTGCAAAATCAATGTAAAATCTAGTTCATCTCCTTCAAAGTGGTTAAATACTATACAATACATTTTACAATGAACATATTTAGTTACTATCATAAGGTAAGCCAGTAGAAGACTGCTTGTATTGAACAAGGAATTGAGATGTTCGATAGGGGATATTAGGTTTAGAACCTTGCATCATTGGGTTAGATATATCAAAATGCAGTAGCTGACAGACGTGTGAGCTCTAGTGATTTATCTCTTTGAGCTGCAAAGCTACAATACGGCATGCATCGCGAAATGAGAGCCGACAGCAGCGAGAGGAAATCTATGTCGTAAAAACTGTATTCAATGTTTCTGCTAAATTTTAAATCATTTTTTTTTTAAATCTATGTCGTTCACATTGGTGTAGAGGTTCCGGATGGAATATCAAAATAAGCAAATAAAAAATAAACATAAAATGCAGGTGAACTTTAATAAAATTTTTTTTAAATAAAACACTAATATTTGTAGAAGACAGATGTAATATTACTGCCAGCCTTAATGGAGTGGTTAATTACTTAGTACTAGTTAATAAGTAATAAAAAATATCCCCAAAAATAAAGAATTTAAAAACAAAAAAAGAACAATAATAGATGATTTTGGTCAAATACAATACTGAAAAATGTATATGTATTAGAAAAAAATATTAATGCAGAAGCATATAAACATAGTAAAAAAAAAAAAGTAATAAAAAATATTAAAAAAAACATCCTGTCATGTGACTTATGGACAACTTTTGCCCACAAATGATAAACCAATTGGATGGATATGGAGTAATAGCTAGCATGATATCGGCAGTTGATTGAGTGCATTTTGGAACACTCCCAGTTCATACAATTATTGAGATGTGTATATTGTTTAAAGGTGCAGGTTCATTTTAAATGTATTCCTTCACACACACCATAAGCCCTTGAGTATTAAAGACCAAATAAGTGCAAACATTTTTGTGAACAGGCCCCTTCGAAAAGTCCACAGCAAGTCGTATACCAGCGTAACTTATTCATAGACGAACGAGAAACCAACATTGCCCATTAATAAATTGCATGTAACAAAAAGTCAAATGTATTTTACATTTTGGTTAAAAATACTGAGTAAAGTATTGGAGTAGAGAATACCTGATCAAATCAAGTCCTATTGCTTTGATAAATCTGAACAGGTATTTTAGTTTTAGGCACTTGTTAGCTACAGCTGAATACATATCAGTTCCATTGGAGATCCCAACGCATTTTAACATATGCACTTCTTTAACTTTGAGCCTTGCCATTCAAAGGTAAAATGCGTTGTTTGCAAAACCTGCAGTCACATGAAGGCAGTAGAGCTCTCCGTCACCCACACTGTCTATGTTTTACGCTGTATATCTCCAGGTCAAATGGGTATTTCAGCACCATTTAAACAGCGCATGTTGTTCTGGTCATCAAAACGTTTTCGCACACTTCTCCTCACCGCATCGGCTCTTCTGTACGGCTGGCTTCTAAGATCTGCCAGAGGAGAGAAATATTAGTGGGTGTTTTGTGTTTAAGTAAATGAAAGAAATAAAGAGATCCTGCTGGCAGCCAATCAAAGCAGCTTGTAAAGAAATTATGATAGAATTGAACGCAGCTTTCACAATACCGTCTTGATTTTTTTTTTTTATCCCTAAGCAGACTTATTCAGTAAATTGTCAATTATTGGACACTGACAAAGGAAATAGCCTATCAGAAAAGATAAATGAGTCGGGAGGGTCTATTTTCCAATTTTTGTGTTTTTAGCTTAAAAATTAAAAGTCCTTAAAAATTAAAGCCGATGGACAATTCCAGATCATTCCGTTTGTAAAAAAAAAAAAACTCTCAATAAAGTATACTCAGCAACAGAATGCTTGTTCTTCAGTAAAAACGTTCTGCTACCTTTTTTGCACTAATTTTAGATTAACTGCATTCAGATTACTTTAATTACAAATTATTTATGACATTGCCAAATTCGATTTTTTTTTTCATATGTTATAGATATGCTATATATATTAAAGAAAGAAAAAAAGTAAATATTATAGGTGTTAAATATAATTTGAAGGTGATCTACTTCTTTCGTGACATCAATTGGTCCCAGCAGAACCTTTATGAATGGTGCATCCTTTCTATTCTATATGATTAAACAAGAGCAATTTTGACAAACAAATGTAAACATTCACAGTTTTGCTCAACTCTTCTAAGATGCTCCATTGTCAGTGTGGCTTTTAACTCTTACACCAACACCAAGAGGAAGTATGTGCAAGTTAATCGCTTTAACAGCAATCATTAGCTCAGTGTAAGACAGCACCGGTTAGAATGGGGTACATTAACACAACAAGGCCTGTTTATTTAATGTATGATTATATATTTTTTTGTAATTAAAATCCTATTCTTTCTACCCACACCTGGGTTTATTTACTTAAAGGCTCTAATCTCAGTCTGAAGTTCCCAGTAACCTGCGTGTTCCTTTGATATTCTGATAAAATAAGTAAAAAGAAGTCTTTTAACAATGAGTTCATATAATTGGTATATTGCCAAGTAAGGTGTCATGTTTCCACAACCCTACTCTAACAGTGAAAGGGCCATTTTAATGGAAGCTAAAATTATTTTAACATACATTTGTCAGGATGTCTTTACCACCATTATTTTAAACGTGAAGTTGGAGCATTGGGGAATTGGGTGAGCCACAAGGTACCAGCATATCACTTGCCCTTCAATAATTTTTTTTTGTTTCTGACATTCCATTACATCACTGGTTTAAAGTGTTTAACCTGCAGCAGAATGTAAACCATCAATTGCAGCTGTGATCTGCAGAGTAATAGAGTCCTAAGCACAGCACAATATTCACTTATTACAATTTTAATTTAAAAATACAGCTATTTTGCTGAAACATATTTTCACAATATTTTTGACTGTATTTAAAGGAACACTATAGTGTCAGGAATACAAACACATATTCCTGGCAGTGTAGTCCTAACACTTCAGGTCCCTAGCCGCCCTCTCCATGGAGATTAAAGGTTTAAAGCTTACCTTTCTGCCACTCTGCACGGGTTCTCACCGCAGCTGGCCCCACATGGCCCTGCCCCTACAGCAGAGATCTTCAATCTTGATGATCTAAGCCACCCTAATATTTTTCCATAGGAAAGCATTGATAGGCTATTGCAAAACACCAATCTCCTTAAAGAGATGCATTGAATTAATGCATCTCTATGGGGAACGTTCAACGCCTTTGTGCAGCACTGAACTAGGAAGTACCTCTAGTGGCTGTCTGAGTGACTGCCACTAGAGTTGTTCCTAGACAGCAATGTAAATACTGCCTTTTTTTCTGAAAGTTCCGTGTTTACAGTGCTAACACTGTAGGGTCTGGTGACTAGAGTGTCCCTTATATGTTAAAGGGACTCTCCAGTGCCAGGAAAACATATCCATTTTACTGGCACTGCAGGACCCTGCAGTGCCTCTCTCCCTCCCACCCCCATCCCATGTTGCTGAAGGGGTTAAAACCTCTTCAGTGACTTACCTGAATCCACGCCGTTGTCCCTTCGGCACTGGGTCAGGCTCTGCCCACGCACGCGCATTAGACCTCCCCATAGGAAAGCATTATTAAATTATTCAACGCTTTCCTATGGGGATTTCGGCAATGCAGGAGGTCCTCAAATAGCGTGAAGACGTCCAACGTTGTTTAAAACACTTTTCGTGTTCTAAGAACACGGAAGTCCCTCTAGTGGCTTACTGATAGACAGCCACTAGAGGGGGACTTAACTCTGCAAGGTAATTATTGCAGTTTATAAAAACTGCAATAATTACACTTGCTTGGTAAAGGATGATGGGAGTTGGCACCCAGACCACTCCAATGGACAGAAGTGGTCTGGGTGCCTGGAGTATCCTTTTAAGTAGGAAAAAATCTTAGTCATATTCCTGTAATCATTTTTACAATAAGGAATGTAATGTAATTGTTTCTGAGCTTTCTGAATTAATTACTGGTGATATTGATAAGCTTGTGAAGAATTTATAGATTTTTATGAATGATTCAATCATTAAATAAAATATACTTTTAAACTGCTTCAAGATGAAATTTTTACTTGACATATTTGCCACTAAAAAGCAGCTTTTAAAACAATCTGTACATTTATATGCATAGCATACGTTTAAAATTCACCTACTGAAAATTTTTACCTAATTTATTTTAAATATTTTTAAGAACCTTTTTAATATCGGGACCATATACAATATTTTGCATCCATCTCTCGCCCGTCTGTCACTCAAAAAGTTAAGAAGAATCCTCTATATGAGGGTTATTTCACTCAATAACGTGTCATTATAATTAACCATGTAGTTTGCAAAATGTGATCCAGAATTATTTATTTCTATAAAACAACAAACTATTCTCCGTGGTCTATAATGATATTTTATGGTTGGTTGCAAATGCGAAATTGCTGATGGAAATAAATTCCAAAATTTCTATATTTTTGTGATATGGCTTATTAGAAACTAGTCTGGCACAAAAAGAGAGAGGAGGAATCAAGTAAAAAATGATGCTTGCCAGCTCTGTGTATCTTCCACCACCGCTGTGTTAGATGAATTCCTTACCCTCGAATGAACATTTGGAAATTTAGTTATATTGTTCTTCTTTAGGGCTAAACAAGAGAAAACACAAAATG